TAGGCCTTGATGATAAAGGCATTCGGTGGTAGAGCGGAATAATATTTCATCCTACAACATCGGGACCCAATCTAGGGACCCGGTGAAGCGTAGGAAGACTGTATTATTCACAGACACCAGGCTAGCAGGGCACCCTTGCCTTCTTAAGTTGTTGGTGGTCCTGGCCCGACGGTTCGATAGACATGGGGATAATCATATTTTTACAAAAAATGATAAGAACATATACGCTATTTGCAAAAAGTATTTGACTACCAAAATTGATATTACTTTTCTTATATGCATGAAACATATATGCATGCAAAAAATATAAATTTTAAATAATATAATTTGATTGTTCACTTGACAATTGTCGGTATTGGGCTAAGAAGTACCCTCCTAAGTTTGTATAGTAAGACACCCTTCTAGTTGAATGTCGGGCTCTATACATACGGGTGGCCGATAGTTGCCTTCGAAGTCCCTCTAGAATATCTAATTCTGAGTCTAGCCCGACTCGAATGCTTACGGCTTTCTTTCTTTCTTTGGATTTTTTTATCTGATTTCCTACGGTTTTATTGAAATCGGATTTTTATTTGTTTTCCTACGGCTTCCTCGAAATCTTTGTAAAACACTTGTGATTTCTTTTCTTCGGATTTTCTTCGTGTTTTCGACGATTTTCCTCGAATCACTGTGGATCTTCTGCCGCTTTTTCTCGAGTCTTTTCAGGAGTTGTTGTCCCGTCAGGTGCGTAGGTTTGTTTTACATTTATAGCATTTATTTTTGCTACTGCACGCTTTCCTGCATATACACATAATTTATGTCTGCAATACTACCGTAGAGGCCAGTAGGACATCTGGTTTAGGAGGTACCATGTAGTGGGTCATTGCCCAATAACTGTACATTTATACACACCACAATCCTAAACTTACAATCGATATGTTAAGGATCTTAGAGTAGTTTTTTCAAGAAACGGAGTGTGGAAGCAAGAGAACGGAGGGCGATGATCAAGACCATGACGACGAGGCGTAGGATGTCTCCTTAGAGTTAAGGTCCAATCGTAGGATAGTTGGGAAGTCACCCGGGTTCTCCCTGGATTTGTGGCATCCGCTACCTTTCACTCCATTGACTCATGAAAATAGTTATTCCTCTTTTGAGCCATTCCCTTTTGATTTCCTTATATTTAACTTTGGAAACCTAAATTTTACAATCTTGAAGACAGAACCATTGATCTTAATCGAGAACCTTCTTAAGTAACTTCGTTCATTTAAAATGTAATTAACTATAAGAGTTTGACTCTATAAGGAACTTAAGAACTCAGTTTAAAATAAACTTTATTTAACTTGTCATGTTAAATAAAGGAACTTGTCGGCTTATAAAGAACGTTTTGCGGACCAAACGGACATCACAGATCTTTTAGTTCAGGTGGTTAAGTTTGTCAATAAGTTGTATTCATATCCTTCGGAATAGTGTATTGTTTGTGGTATTGCGCTTGGACATATAAACTATTAAATTGCGCTCCAACTGTATATATTAAATCAGATTTAAATAAATGATTTTCAAAATGAAGCGGCCGACAGAGGCAGTTGTGCGGCGTGGCAGCGAGGCTGGGAAAAAAGGCAGCTCGGTAAATTTGAGGAAAAGAAGCAATAGTTGTTGTTCTGAAAGGCTGCAGCAGAGACAGGGCGGCCGAGAATGATGTGGGGAGAATGCGGAAGAGAAAAAGGAAGATACTTACCACCTCGAGAAAAAAATACAGTCGGAGCACCACTCGAATACAGCCCTATATGGGAAACTAACATATAGGCGACAGTATCGAACAAACTCGCACAAAACCTAACCCCAGACTCTTGCAAAAGTAAATGTATACTAAGAGGATAACTAGAAGTGGCACGAGAGGACCGGCTGACTCCTCAAAAAGAAAAAAACTTGGATCGGTTAGGTCCGCACGAACAAGCAAAGCAAGCCCTCCACTCCAGAGTCGCATGTGGGACACCCTACGTCAACGGAAGCTCTAGTTCTTCTAGCCTATGCTTCATTTGAATCAAGTTCTGCGATTAAGTTCAACAAGATGGTCAATATCAAACTCAATGTTAACCAATATCTGCAAGCAACAACTATCAAATTCGCTTTAGCAAATCGATGCCCTCCTGATTTAACATGAGAAACCTTAAAATAGATTTCTAATTCATGTACAAAACCAAGAATCATTAGGTTCTTGTTGTCCATGAAATGTAGAAATATCATCACATCATCATTATGGTGTTGAAATGTATCAGGATACTACCTCAGATTTTTATGCTGATGATGATGGTACCCATATCCTTGATGTAGCTTAGGTTTTTTTTTTTTTTAATTCAGCTTAGAGTTATTTATAACCTGATTGCAATGATGAAATAATGAACGTTACGAGCACGGTTAAATATAATTTTGAAAACTAAGCTTCCCAATCTTTATAAATGCAATCCTGGTTAGACGCAATCAAATTTGTAAACTGCTGGTGTTAAATATGCAATATAAAAGCCTTGTGGTATACATGATAATATACAAATAGCTAGTCTTGCATCTATATCAAACAGCATGAGCATGTTTTATGTTAATAGTCAAATTTAATTGCATACAGTGTTGGAATTCTAATTTCCTTTTCTAGCTCATGCAATCTGGTTATATTTCATAAAATGTTTGCAGTTATTGAATTAACACGCATCAATTTAAATTGGTGTAGCTCTTCTTATCACAAGCTTAGGTAGCCATTTTTTAAGTACGTTTGAAAAACTTAATACGGTACATACCACAGAATTTGCCAGTCAAAGGAATATAAGACAAATCTACAAGTTATGTTCAATACCTCAATCAAATAGAGCAATCAAACCTTTGACAGCATATTAATAATGATAGAGTTTTCCCTTTTCATTTCCTCGATTAGAAGAGGATGGCAACATGAGTGCTGAGTTGTAGAAAAAAATAGGGAAGAGGGGTTGGGTTTGTCAAAAAAGTAGTATAGGCTAGTTATGAGGAGAGAGCAAAAATTGGATGAGCTAAGAAGTGCATGTGTGATATGCTAGAGAGAGGTGTCTTTTTTTCTTCTTTTGAGGGATGAGGGGAGGATATTTGCTACAAACGTTGACGTCATCTCATGGAGTTATTGTGTTGTTGTAGGTACTTAAGGCAACCCCCTTCGTTCATACCTTTCCTTCTCTTTTGCCTCCAATAGACTTTTCCATCTTCTCTCTTGTTTGTGGTCATGCTCGATCCCTTTTGTTGCCCTGTGTTAAGATATTTCAGCATTCTTTCCCTCAAACCCTCTTGATGCCCTAACTTCTCCTACATCGACTTCTAAAACGACATTAGTTGACTCTCCTATGAGGTATCCATCATCTCCTCTTGTAGCCTCTAATGTCGATAAGACTTCTTTCTTTTACCTTCTCTCGTGGTTGAGTCATCTTGTCTCAACCCATATGCTCATTTGTAAATGTTTTTTGTGGTTCGAATGTAGCAAATATCCTCTCCTACCCACAAAACAATCCTCCACCTTTCTTTCATCAAACTATCAACAAACCACCAACACAAATAATGTTATTCTTTCAAGACAAACCTGCTATTTTCTTGTATGATGAAGAAATATAAGTGCTTAGCGGGCCTCTCACCCTTTCATTTATTAGCATTTTTTTTGTATGTAAGCCTAACATAGAGGTAATTCACAACTTTTTAGTTGATTTACATTTGACTTATGACTATTTTATTGTGCCTATTACCCCTAATCATATCATCATAAGACTTTCCTTAGAAGTAAATTATAACATACTCTTCTCTCAACACTCATACTATCTTAATGGTTTTCCGATACACATGTTAAAATGGTCCTAAGATGAACAAATAAGAAGCCTGGAAGTGATTCTTTCTTCTTTTGAGATTGGTAGTCAAATAAAGAATGAACATTGATGGATTGTTGAGGTAGACAACCATCCTATGAATGATTTATTGAAAGCACACAAATTGCTGACGTAATCTGACATTAGCCACAAAGGAGCATTCTTTGAGAATTCCCGCAGCTTTCTTTGCAATTCATTTATTCATTAAATGTTTTAATGCCATGTGCATACCAGATATATTATTACTTCTATTTATTATTTGTTTATATAGTTTAATAATTTCATATGTAGAGCATCAATGGAAAAGATAGTCTACAAATTTATTTATCAATTTTCATGAACAACTAAATCGAATTTCTCTACTTAAATAAAATGGTTAGATCTTGGTGCATTGAATTCCATACCCTTCTCCCACATCTTTTGGATGCCTAACTTACCTCCTTATTGGCACCCTTTAGTCTACCTACTGATCCTTGTCTTCTCTTCCTATTCTTCACAAGTTGATTAAATGCACTCAAACACTTTTAAGCAATCCTCACTAAAAATGATAATAATTTGCCTTTATCTAGACGGCCATAAACTAAATTTCAAAAAAAATTGACCTAATAAAACATAAAATTCCATGAATCTAATTACACTTAACAAGTACCTAAACTTGTTCATCGTAAATACAGAAAAAAAAATTTAAGAAAACCTGAGAGTATCTTGTTTTGCATATTAACAGCCTTAAAAAAATTTTCCCCATTTTACTACCTCATTTTGCTGGATTGGCAGTGGAAAATGAAAGTGTAAGGCCAAACAAAAATATCCCTCCCCTTATATCTTCACAGTGCAACAATTATGTCCATCATACATATTGTTTTCATGATAATAAACAAAATTCTAATAAACAAGTTTCACTTTGAAGCAAAGTGCGCTAACTCAAAATAAGTCCGCTAATAACAAAAGACAGAACATTAAAATTGTTGAGAGGTCATCTCCTGCCAATGTGGTCAATGATAATCCATAAGTTTCAATATCAAATTTCAGGACTCTAATCAGTAAATGAAGCCATAACCAATAAATAATAATGAGCGTGATAAGCATGAATATCATTATGGAAGAAGATTCTTGCCTATTGTTCCTTAAAATGTAGGATTATGACATTTTTCTTACATTTGAAGACCCATCTGTGTTGCGAACCGCATTATGATCAGTAGGTTGAGCCAAGTCCTTGCATGAGCTTTGAATTTCTTTTAGAAGTTTCTTTAACCACTTATCCCGGTGTGAATCTCTAGTTAATGCATTAAACTTTTTCAAGATTGCATCATATTCTAGAAGATCACCAGGACAGCTACCTGGTGTTTCTGCTTTTGATGCACTATCAAACCTAGTACTTACACCATCGATTCTTTGTGCATCGATAGATGGCACAGGTTTCCTCCTGAGATTCCATTTACTTGTTATCTGAGTAGTTTGTGCTGCCTGATTTGCCTGATCATGCTGATCACCAGATGTTTCTTCAGGCTCAAGATCTGGAAGTTCACCTAAACGCTCCCGAGTTTTTTGAACAAGGAGGTCAATTTCATGTTGCTTTCCATCTTCATAATCTTTGTCGGTCAATTTCCAGAGTTTTTTCTCTACGGTATCATACACTTTCTGTACAATAAACCCAGGGTGCTGAGAACGAATTGGCAACTTTTTGTTAAGGGGAACAAAATGTACAACGCACTTGTGCATAACAGATTCAGCTGGGACATCATCTCGATGGAAGCTGTAAAAGAGCTCTCTCGTGTCTCTGGCTTGCCAGTTCCCCCCACCTTTTTTCTCAGCTTCTTCAGGACGATAAAACCATTGTCCAGTTACCATAAAATTCCCATCAACATCTTCAGTAATGTCCTGATCCAATAAAGTCAAGAATAACAATATAATCAAAGATAAAGTATACCAGTAAATGTTACTTGATGAAATAAAAAAAAATAAAAGTCCCATGAATCCCCAAATAGCAAAAGCTCCATAATGATACGGTAAAGATGTCTCCATCCCTAGATTCTTCAATGATAGGACAAAGCAAGAAGATCGAGAAAATCCCAGTAAAAATGTCAATAAAATTTCAAACCCAAATACGCTTCCCTTTTAGTTTATCACTAACCTAAAAGTCCCGAGGAAAAAAACTTTGGAAGGACGCAACAATCAAGTATTCCAAAGTCTGATAAATCAATTACTCACTTTAATGATAGCAACATACGGTTTCTGCTTCGAATCCTCAGGAGTCAACAGAACTGAATCCTCCTGCAAAAGAAATTAAACAACAGCCATTCATGCCTACTCACCATAAATCGGCCAATAAACAATAAATAAATTAAAACCAAAACAAAAATCCTTCATCCAATAGCCGCAAAAACTCTAAACAAACAAAACCTAGGATGACCAAAAACTTTACCAGCTCGAACACATTGCCCTCGAACTCAAACGAACCATAATGGGTCTTCTTCTTCTTTCCCTTTCCAGTGACCTTCAAAGCTTCTCCTACTGGCTCAGCCTTTGCCTCCTCGTCCTCATCCCCCTCCGCTTCACTATCCGCCTCCCTAGAACCATCGCGAGCACCACTGCCATTCGCCGGAGAGTGATCCTTATTCTTGTCGGCGTCATCGTCGTACTCAACGTGCCGGAGACGCCGCTGCTTTCGCCGTCGGCGGTCATCCGCCGGCGGTGAAGGTTCCTCGTCTTCGCTGGAGACTTGAGCGGCTCGCCGCTTTCCCATTTCGCGCGTGCGAGCTTTGCCCGGGAAAGACTTGGGGACTATTAGATTTTGGTTTTGGAGGAGTCGTGTGCGTCTGGCTTTTATTTTCTTGAAAATATGGAAAAAATAGAATTATTTAAGAGAAGGCTACATATTTACTTTTGGACTATTTATTGGAGTCTATGATCATTTGCCACTATGCATTAATGCCTAATCATGTTGCTTTAAAATTAGAAAAAATTTAATCAAACAATTTCAAATCTTAGTTTATCAAAAAAATATTATGATTATAAGAAATAGTTAAAACATATCTCAATTTAAACTTAAATTTAATTTGAATGTAGTTGAATTTTGATTCAAAATGATGGAATCATTGGTGTGAATGTTATTTGAATTTGTTCGAATGTGATTTGAATTTTTGAGATAAACCAATTTTATGAGGGTTTGAGAGGAGATGTATATTTTGGGTTTAGAGCACAATGGGGGGTGGGGTTTGGGGTATATTAAAGTTATCATATATGTATATTAATGTTATCATAAAATCATATGTATATGTATGTTAACACATGAAACTAGTAGAACCTCTGTGGTGTGAATAAACTACATGATTTGCATGTGAATGTGTGTTTACTTATTTTTTCTTGCATGTGAGGTTGTGTGCATGCTTATTTACTGCTTTTTGGGAATGGATTGGATAACAAGAATTTATATATATACATCAATATGATATAATGTTAATGTACCTGTATATGTGAACACATGAAACTAGTAGAACCTTTGTGGTGTGAATAAACTACATGATTTGCATGTGAATGTGTGTTTACTTATTTTTTCTTGCACGTGAGACAGTGTGCATGCTTATTTACTGCTCTTTGGGAATGGATTGCATAACAAGAATTTTTCAAATTGATGGATGAGAGATATAGGAGAACGAATGAAGCTTCTATGTGCTGAGTGAGATGAAAGGATGGATGGAAAATATTTTTAAAATTCTAATAAGATTTACATTTTTTGTACAATATAAACTGAAAAGTGCTAAAAAAAGAATATTTTCAAAAGTTTCTTTTTCAAATTGATGGATGAGAGATATAGGAGAACGGATGAAGCTTCTATGTGCCGAGTGAGATGAAAGGATGGATGGAAAATATTCTTAAAATTCTAATAAGATTTACATTTTTTGTATAATATAAATTGAAAGTGCTAAACAAAGAATATTTTTGAAAGTCTAAAATGAAATCATCTTTTATATTATAAATCAAATTATTAAGAATGAAACATTTACACTTCAATTAAATGAGCTCTAAATTTATAATCTTTAAGAAAACTTAGAATAGCTCAAGGAGAAGGGTTTCAATCTCCTTCAAGATCTTTTAATTTTCTCTTAAAACAATTTTAGAAAAGGAAGTTCCATCTTCAAAGCTCTATGACTTCCTTTAGAATGACTTCTCATAAGAACTTATACTTAGGGGCACCTTTTCTTTAAAAACTTAAAAAAAATTGATCTCAAAAGAAAAATCTTTCCAAATAATTCAGGAAGTTCCATCTTCAAAGCTCTATGACTTCCTTTAGAATGACTTCTCATAAGAGCATATCTTTAGGGGTGTCTTTTCCTTAAAAACTTTAAAAAAATTAATCTCAAAAGAAAACTCTTTCCAAATAATTATATTTTAAATTCTTTTAAAGTCTCTTATGGAAAGTCTTAAAAGGAATTCTCTTTCAAGAATTTCTCCTTTTAAATACTTTCTTTGTAAAAGATTAAAAATATTAATCAAAACCAATTTAAATCTTTTAAAACAACTTATCTTTTCTTTAAAAAATCAAATTCCATTTTCAAAGGTAATTTTCTTAAAGCCCTTGAGTTTTAGGAATCTTAAAATAAAATATAAGCTTATCTGACTAATTTCACTTGTTTAGTCTAGGCAAAACTTATATATTCACTTAGATTGAGTGACTAAATTAATGAACACATTTCTCCCCAGAAATGTATGATTTTGTAGTCTCAGACTCCCAGTATATAATTCTTTGGTTGTTCTATCTTAAATAACCCATAATAAAGATAAACTTATATTCCTAAATAATTTTGAATGTCAAAGTTATTTTTAGAAATATCTAAATATTTTTGTATGAAAATAATATTTTTTTATTACTTTAAGGGGAATAAAAGTAAGTCTTTAATATGAGAAATCTAAATTAAGAAACTTATTTTCATATGTTCAATAATATATCTCTCAACCACAATTAGAACATGGGGAAGGAGAAAAAAAGTAGGAAGAAAACTGAAATGCGAAGAAATATCTAAATATTTTTGTATGAAAATAATATTGATTGAAATGCGGGATTAAAAAACAATATCTGATTGACAATTTGACCAATACTTCACCTAGAACGGAAGAATAACTTAACAACGCTTAGAAAACCTTCGACTGATGATTTATAGGAGAAAACAAATCACTATTAATTATCAAACCTCAAAAACACTTAAAATCGACCAATTATACTCTTTATAAGCCACACCCTATGATAGTTCCAAACTATACCCCTACGGTCGCGAACGCTGAAGAAAACATAGGTCCATGCACATACCATATATTAGTCTAGTCTAGAAACCCTGGGTTAGTTGTAGGTTCCCCCATATAATTAGAACAAATGACTAGGGCCTATAAAACAAACTGACCTATCCCAAAAAACAATGAGTCTAATAGAATAAAGTAGCACATGCCATTGACAAAAATACTCACAACCACTTTTATAGCAAAAAGGACTACCTTAAGTCATATCAATGACAATAAGGGAGAACATACTTACTATCACCTGCTCAATGTCATTTTCTTGCTTATAGGTTAATAGTTTGAGGTTATCATTGTACTCGACAAGAAAGAAAGCCATGGGGATCTTGACCGTGTGCATTACTCCCAAATTTAGGCTTGGTCTCCGATAATTGTTGACCTCACTTTTGTTGAGATATAGTCTTTATTCCTTAAAAACCTTGGATCTAGTCATATGACTTTCCTATTGACTATTCTAGAGGACTGGTAATGAAACTCTACCCATTAGAAATTCTAAAACATCTCTTTACTCTTCTTGGAATCCACATGTTGGTGTTGACCTCTAGCACTTAAAATGTTGAAAACAGCACGGGGGAACTCAAGGGAAGCCCCCATATAATTGTCAAGCCTTAGGTTTAGCTCTAGGTGGCATGGTCTTGGTCTTGGTATGGCACACACACACAATCCTAAACCCTAAAATCATTCATCTTTGACCATTTTCCCCTCTCTTCTGGAAACTCATGTAGGTAGTCCCCCAAACTCTAAGTGTTTACCTAGGATGGCTGGGACTAACACATGAAATATCCAAAATAACCCTCCCCTTGGTCTCATGGCTCAAAGAAGGTCATCATCATGATTGGCATATCCAATAGCCTCCATTTCCGCCTAAACACTCATCTTTAGCCTCCTACCTTAATTTTTTTTCAAATTTACCAAAATGCCCCTGAAACCCTGATTTTCCCAAAATTGGACAAATTGTCAATTCCTATAAAAAAAAAAATCATAACAAACAACCTCAAACCATTCAAATTGACCAAAACACCCCAAATTCTTCAAAATTATCAAAATACCCCAAATTTACCAAAAATTATCAAAATGTTCCTAATGTCCCAAAAAATCCCAAAACCTCTAAATTTACTCCAAACATCCCCAAAATCAATCCTGGCCACCCAATGATCCCAATTGCATCTAAATTCCCCATTTTTTTTTTTCAAAATTCATAAATTGTCCCATTATGCTTAAAGACTTAAAATCATTCCCAATTTCCACGAAATTGATTTCAAACTCCCCCAATTTCAAATCTGAATCAAAATTCATCACGTCTAAGCCCAATTAAAACCAAATTATAGCCCAATTGAAATCAAATTCAAGCTCAAATGTTAAGCCCCCAAAATTAACCTAAACTCCAAACCTCACCAAATTCAAGCTCATGGCCAATCTAATTTCCCCAATTTGAAATCCTAAACTTCATGAAAGTTTTCTAGACCAATTAGAGCCATCAATTGGCTTGGATCCAAGCCTAAGTTCAAGATCTAGCCCAAACCCTAATTTTAACCTCAATCTCAAACTTAGCCTAAACCCTTTGAATTAATTAAAGCCTAATCCTCCACAACTTGGTTTGATCCCTTGAGATGTCAACCAGATCAACTAGCCAACTCTATTTGGTTCCATGGACCACGAGTCCCTCAAATCAAGGGGACTCATCTCCAAATTTGACTAAGCTTTCTATCCCATGAAATCAACTCTCAAGCCCCAATGTACTCACAATTAAAGCTTCCATTAAACCTCCTAACCTTACTAACCACTTCCTTTGGACTGGTCGACCAACCTAGTCGCCGGAAAACCCAAAACTGAGAAGCCCCTCCTTGGCTTAAACCTTAAAGTCCACCCATCAAGTGTGTCAACTTCCAATTAAACACTTGCATTGAATTCCCCTCCACCTAAGCTGCGCTTTGGCTACCTTGGCTTACCCTGTTGGCAGCCATTGTCTGGCCTATAAATGATACCCCTATCACGACCAAATGGGAAGAAGGGTTCACACGAAGCTCTGCCCAATTATCTCCAAACCCTTCTAGCACTAACATGAAGCTCGCTCTGACTATTTCACCCTCTCCCCACCACTAAGAAACCTTAATTTTAAACTTAAAATCCAGGGTTTTCTTTTAACCACTCCACCAAACTCACCAAAACTCCAAATTAAGCTGCTCTTAAGCTTCACTAGAGCTTAAGAACACTTCCCCAATCAAAACCCCTCTCTCTCTCTCTCGAGCACTCTAACCCACTCCTGAACCAAGCCGTGCCACCTGTTGATCAAACTCTTATACAGACTCAACCTCAACTCAATGCAACTCTTAGAGGACGTTCGTGGACTCAAGCTGAAGCTCAAGAATAAACCCAATTGAGGTCTCACCTTTTGGGCAAAGGTATAAGCTCAATACTTTAATTTTGGGCTCAGTTTCCTTGATTGTGAAGAGAATCTATATTTCATATGTGTTTAATCGTATGGATGTGTTCGTTTCGACTAGATGAAGCTATAAGAACAAATCGT